GAAGAAGAAGAAGAAGAAGAAGAAGAAGAAGAAGAAGAAGAAGAAGAAGAAGAAGAAGAAGAAGAAGAAGAAGAAGAAGAAGAAGAAGGAGGAGGAGGAGGAGGAGGAGGGAAGGAATAGAAAAGAAAAAGAATTGAACAAGAATTGAATACTGTAACAATTAAACCCACTGGACAAAAATGTTATTTTTTTGCAAAAGAAAAAAAAAATCCCAAGAGAGAAAATGGGGATGAAATGGAGAGGCCTTGGTAAAAGCATGGGGTGATTTGAGGACCCCTCTTGGTGCTCTCTGAGCTTCCTTGTTTTGTTCCAGATGTTTCATTACACAAACTAGGTAACAACATCCATGCTAGTCGTGGTTGGATGGTTCCAAGAGATGATTGATTAGAATCCCAGATCAGCATATTCCTCACAGTAATCATTTGGTCTATGATTCTTGCCAAACCCTCCACAGAAAAGCGGCAAACGGCAGCATTCAGGTAGGCCAAAAAGGCAAAATGGCGGTTGCAACCGCCATCTTGCCTTTTTGACAGCAGATGCTGCTGCTGGTGCCAAGACTCCATGTTTATTCCCAGAGCTTTGAAATCCGTTGCCTTCTCCCTTTGCCGCTGCGTCCCCATCAAAATGGCCCTTCTAGATGTTCGAAAGATGCTTTTCCAAAAGGCAAGTGGATTTTCTTGCCCCCCCCCCCCGAAAAACTTGAAGAACTTGAAGAAGCTTCTTGGATGAGAAGTGAAATGTCCTCAGGGGAAAAAAATCAAGAAAACCCAATGTCAGGGTTCCAAGTGACACCCCCAACGAAAGAAGACTCCAAGGGTTGAGATTCCTCAAAGTTCCATTTTGTTAGAGACGTCCTATTGGCACATCTGGGAAAACCCGAATCTGAAAGCTTCCAGGTTTTCCCCACCCAAACAAAAGTCCGAGCCCCTGCCCAACATCCACATGTCCGTCACATGGACCAATCAGGCACCATCCAAAACAGGAGATGCCTCCCAGTCACGCCACTCCAGGTGCAGGGCAAGGTGTCCTTGACTCTCTGAGAACGGAATGTTATTTAGACTGTATATGTCCCCAGTTCCATAAAACTCCCTCCTGTTTTCCCACAGCAGAAATTGTGGCATCATCCAAAACAGGAGATGCCCCCCAGTCACCCCTTCGCAGCTGCAGGGCAAGGTGTCCTTGACTCTCTGAGAAAAGAATGTTATTTTGAGTATATATCACCCATAGTCCATAAAATCCCCCCTCCTGTTTTCCCACAGTAGAAATTGTGGCACCACCCAAAACAGGAGATGCCCCCCAGTCACGCCAGCACAGTTTCAGGGCAAGATGTCCTTGACTCTCTGAGAAAAGAATGTTATTTAGACTCTATATTGCTCATACTCCATATAATCCCTCCTCCCATTTTCCCACAGCAGAAATTGTGGCAGGCCAGAGGGCCCAATGTAAAAGATGGCTCCCAGGTCTGACTCCTAGTTGCCTTTTGGAAAAAGCACCTTTCAGACAACCACGATGATTGCGCGTCTCCGTAGGCGTCCTACTAGATGGTTTTCTGCAGGCTCCGCATTTTCCATCCATGTTACCTCCAGATCCTCACGTTTCCTTTTGCTTCCAGGGGTGAAAAATGCCGACGAAACGGAGCTGCGCCAAGTGGCCTCCGAACCCCTCGAGATGACCGTCTACAATGTGGTGGATTTCCCTCTGCTCCGTTCTCTGGTCAGCCGCCTGACGTGGCTCTTATGCGCTTGGATCAAGGAGAAGGACCAGAAGGAGATAGGTGATACCATTTGGGGAGAATATTTGTAGCTCAGGGTCGAACCGCAGGGACCTCGGTGCTCCGTGAACTTGGTGGTTTTCTTGCAGGCAGGGGTGGGCTTCAAAAATGTTAGTAATGGGTTCTCCGCCTGGTTGGTATGTGGGCGTGGCCATGGTGGGTGTGGCCTACTCGGCTTTCTAAACCACGGCAGCCTGGGGAGGAGGAGTTTTCACCCTCCCTGGGCTCCGGAGATTTTTCTCCAGCCTCCGGGAGGGCGGAAATGGAAACGGAAATGGGCCTGTTTTCGGCCTTCTGGAACTTCTGGGAGGCCCATATTTCACCCTCCCCGAGTCTCCGTGCTGGCCCTGTACTTACCGGGCATCCCAAATGGGGCACGTGGGGACTCCTGGGAGGAGCGGGGTGGGGAATGAGAGGCAGGGTGGGTGGGACCAGCTAGGGGTGGGATTTGTGTGTTTGCCGAACTGGGCAGTTCCTTAGCTAGAGGATCACCCGAACCCGTGCAAACCTTCAGCAGCCCACCCCTGCTTGCAGGCGTTTCATTACCCAACTAGGTAACATCATCAGTGCTAGATGAGTAGATGATGTTACCTAATTTGGGTAATGAAACGCCTGCAAGAAAACCACCAAGCTCGGGGAACACCAAGGACCTCCCCAACTATAGGTGAGGCTGAACCCATTTCTTTAACATCACCGCCTGCCTGAATTTGGAGTTTATCCCTGTTGACATACCAGTGGTGGGATTCAAATAATTTAACAACTGGTTTTCTCTGCCCTAATGACCAGCTGGGTAGGCATGGAGTCATGTGACCGTGTGGGCGTAGCCAACTCAAAGTCACTCATGTCAATGGGCGCTTTGCTTTAGCTGTTACAATGTAACAAGGGTTAACCTGAGAGGCAGTTTCTGTAAGCAGGACAATAAAGATTAGTGTCAGCTTCTGCTTTGCTGTTGCTTCAGCTGCCATTGAAATGGGG